AAAATGTTGGTATACGTTTGATTTTAGTTTATGATATTGTTAGAGATAAATGACACACAGTTGAAGACGGAATTACTAACATAACAGAGGTACATGATTTAATTTAACAGCTTTGGCAGTTTACAATTTAGTAATTTTATATTAAGTTCCGAGACCAGAGTTAGACTCCTGTTTTCATGCCAATCTCTGTTATTTCAAATCTAGTTGCATTTGGTAATAAAAAAGTTTCATTTTCTTTAAAAAAGAGGGATCAGAATCAGTAGTTAGATTTCAATTTTCACTGACCTTGTCATCTGCCCCTACCCCCAACAACCCCTCTCAACACGTAAGCCGTTACAGAAATGACTTTTGTTTCCCCTCAGCGTACATTTCTCAAACTTTGCAATATGAGTCCTGCAGCTCTAAAAATAAGATTTTCATATTCATTTCGACCAACAAACATCACAATCGCTTATTAAAAAGCGTTCAAATCTCGAAGTGGGCGCATCTGCCTATCTCCTTCACCGCGCACTGGTACTGCTGCCAACCTCACGAGCACCACAGCAGGTGGCCACCGGGGCAAAATAGTTAAAATGCGTATTTTTCCTTTTGTTGGTGTTTGTGTTATTGTGGAATAGTGTACTTATGAGGGAAACGAGAAAACTTTGTAGTTCTTAATCGTTAACTAAAAATACGACAGGAAACCGTCACCAGTTTCTCGTCTTAGGTTGCCGACCCTTCCAGTACGGCATTCGTCGGGGCCGGCCTATCCCAGTAAACCCTCTGCTTCTGTGTGTTCTGTGCTGCGGGCCGCTGCGGGCACGGCTCGGCCGCTTCCCCCTCCACTCCTCCCGGCCGGTTGCATCCGGGAGGCGCGCAGGCAGCGCGTCGCTCTCTCTCTCCCTACGGCCCCAGCACGCGCGAGCGACGAGGACCGACTGCTCGGCCCTCTCTCAAGCACCCCGCCGTTGCGGCGCGCAAAGTTCAAACTGGCCGAGGTCTGGAAAAAAAACTTGTCAGTGATAATGTGCTCTGGAATGGTAGAGAATCAGATACCGTCATCCCGATGTCTTACCTGTGGACGGTCAGTAAATGCTATTGTTGGCATGAGTTGCAAACTGATCACGTATACACAGAACAATGGCTAAAAACAAAAATTACATGTAAATTTGTGTACCTTGTGCGGAAATGGAAAGATTATACTGATGAACAGTCATACCTTTTCCCATCTGACGGGCAATTTTTTCGTTAGATTTGAAATGATTCTTCTGGTACACTTCTCAGTCTGTAACAATAAGGGAGTAACTTGAGGTTGTTTTACATCAAAGGAAAGGAAATACAAAATTTTCGCTTGGTGATGTGCTTACCTAGGAGCGTCCCCCAGTCCTCCGGGCCCTCGATGGTGTTGGTGCAAGTCTCACCCTTGCACTTTGCACACCAGGGGCCACAGACGTCCCCGCGCTTCCTGCAGGGGCAGCTAACCCGACACCCCAGCGGCGAGCATTTGCAGGACAGTCTTTTCTGTAGCTCGGGTGGCACCGCTGGTTTTGTGGTGGGGATGGGCGTGAGTGTGCCGTTCTCTGCCCTCCAGCCCCACGCAGTCGGGTCCAGGTCATTCCCCAACCACTGCTGCACCTGCAGGTACACTCGGTAGCAGTGCTGAGCGGCCGCGTCGGACGTGGACGGAAGAGTTGACAAGTCCGGCAGCTTTGTCTTCTCTGTCCGCTCGCGGTACAGTACTTCGCGCAGGTCATCCATGGTGTGCACCACACACTGACCGGAGGAGACACGCTCGCTGGGGTACAGCGACATCATGATCTTCTCCCCTGCCTCTCCAATGTCTCCTCGGTCCACATGAAGGTCGTTGAACAGCTCTGCCAGTCGCCTGAGGGCCTGGCTCTTCTTAAGGGTGTCCCAGAGTGTCAACTTCCCTTTCATGTGGATGGCAGAGGTGGTGTCACACCCTGACATGGCATGGCCGAACAGCACACACTCCAGTAAGCCCTGCCTAGCGAGGTGTCGACGGATGGCACGAATGTTGAACACCTCGTCAGCCGTGGTCTGAGTCCCGGGCTTTGTCACAGTTATGCCCGTGTCATCTGTGGCATTAGCAATCAATATGGCCACGATGTCAGTGTCACGGGCGATAACTGTGACATGCGGCTCCGTCTTGTCGCAGTCTATTGCAGTCGCCGCAATCATGTAGTCTGCGTCTGCCCGCACTGTCAAGTCGTAGTCAGCGTTTTTAGTCAGCCTTCTCTGCGAAAGTTGATTTACGCAGGAAAACCTGCGTCTTTTTGCGCGTTGTCTGGCCGTTTACTCAAGAATCCTGCGGAAACGTGGAAACGCAGGCTTTAGGGGTGTTCTCGCAAGGAGACTGGGTAAGTTGTTTTTCCCAGGCTGTGGCCTGCGCAAAACACGCAGCCTGGCCTGGGCACGGCTCGCGGAGACGATCTGGAGAAATATGGCAGGAGGACTGGCTGGGCTCTGCCCTGACCGGCTGATGGATTTACGGAGCCCTCCTGAGCTGGCTTTACGCAGCCCCGGCTGCGCAAAACACGGAGCCGGGCGCGCGCGCCCCGGCAGACCGCCTGACGAGAACACGTAGGCTACCTGGCCCGTCTACAATATAGTCCGGGAAGTAGTGTCCAAAATCGGGCAAAACTTTGCACTTCATTCTACTGAGTGGACCTTTTGGAATTAAGTTCTACATGTCCTAAGGTCACTTTTAAGAAATGTTGCCAAGATGGGACACGCGTCGTATGGCCTTGAGAGGCGTTTGCCTACTTCTCAGGGGCAAAAAGTACGGTACCACTTAAATCGGCCTGTAAGTACAGAAAAAAAGGTCGCACGTCGTCGGGACCACTTCCATCGTGTTCAGCATACCTCAAAACTTACCCTTGCACAATCCGGGCCCAACACGTCACCCATAGGCCCCTCGGGAGGCGTCCAAATACAGAGTTCATAAATTTTATGTGTAATTTTTGA